TTTTTTTTTTTTTTTTTTTTTTTTTTTTTTTTTTTGAGTAGGCATCTCACTATGTAGCCGGGGCTGGAGTGCAGTGGCAAACTCACAGCCACCATAGCCTCTACTCGCTGGGGTCAGGTGATCCTTCCTCCTCAGCCTTCCAAGGAGCTGGAACCACAGGCTTGAGCCACCACACTCAGCTAATTCTTTGATTTATGGTAGAGATGAGGTCTCGCCAAGTTGCCCAAGCTGGTCTCGAACCCCAGGGCTTAGGCAATCCTCTTGCCTCCGCCTCCCAAGTGCTGGGATTACAGGCATGAACTAATGTGCCCGGCTGAACTAAATTCTTTAAAGCTCATTTTTATTCCACCTCCACCTCTGTAATGAAGTCTTTTTTTTTTTTGGACCTAAACTGAATGTGAGCCTTCCTTTGAACCCAGATAGCACCTTACTAACACTTACATTTCGATCCTTACCAGATTTTGCCTTAGATGATACTTGTATTCCAGTGCTTCTCACACTTTTCCATTAGAAATGTACCTTAATTAGGCCAGGCATGGTGGCTCACACCTATAATCCCAGCACATTGGGAGGCCGAGGTGAGAGGATTGCCTGAGCCGGCGGGTTCAAGACCAGCCTGGGCAACTTGGCGAGACCTCGTCTCTACAATAAATCAAAAAATTAGTTGGGTGTGGTGGTGCGTGTCTGTAGTTTCAGCTACTTGGAAGGCTGAGACAGAAGAATCACCTGAGCCCAGCAGGTGGAGGCTGTGGTGGCCACAAGCATGCCACCGCACGCACTCTAGTCTGGGTGACAGAGTGAGACTCCCAACTCAAAAACATAAATAAATAAATAGCATATTGGCAATATCTATCTTTCTTAAAGATGTACATACCTTCAAACAATTTTTTATGACTTTATAATGCACATAGAAATAATATATATACTAAGTTATTCATTATGGCATTATTAGTCATTTTTAAAGATTGAGGCCAGGCATAGTGACTCATACCTGTAATTGCAGCACTTTGGGAGGCCAAAGGGGAGGATCATTGGAGACCAGCCTGGGCCACAGAGCAAGACCCCATCTCTACAAAAAAATAGAAAAATTTAGCCGGGCTCGGTGGCTCAGCCTGTAATCCCAGCACTTTGGGAAGCCGAGGTGAGTGGATTGCCTGAGCCTGCGGGTTCGAGACCCGCCTGGGCAACTTGACGAGACCTCATCTCTACAACAAGTCAAAAATTAGCTGGGTGTGGTAGTGCCCACCTGTAGTTCCAGCTACTTGGAAAGCTGAGGCGGAAAGATCACCGGAACCCAGCAGGTTGAGGCTGCGGTGCCCGGGAGTGGCCATTGCACTCCAGTCTGGGTGACAGAGTGAGACTCCAACTCAAAAAAAAAAAAAATAATTGAAAAATTTGCTTGGTGTGGTGGTGTGTACCTGTAGTCTAGCTATTCTGGAAGCTGAAGTGGGAGGATCGCTTGAGCCCAGGAGTTGGAGGCTGGGCA